TTTGAGAATGTGGTTTTCGCCTCAGCGTCGCGAACATTCGTCATGAAGCTTGCAACAGCTTCACGGATGGAGGGCGGGGGGGGGGTCAAAACGTGGCTCTCGCCTCAGCGCCGCGCACATTCGTCTTAAAAGTTTGCAGGAGCGTTACGGATGGAGGACGGTACCTTTTCAAAACGTGCCTCTCGCATTAGCCGCACGCAGATTCGCCTTAAGAGCTGTCCAACAGCTTCAAGAATTATTATGTTGACATACACGACACGATAACTCAGTACGATGTAGGACTGTCACGGCGCGACAGTTACGTTGATTAGCGGTGTGGAAGTCCTAGAAATGATGTTCTGGAAAGATCCAGGATCGCCAGGACGCAACAGTAGCGTTGATTCGCGGCGTTGAAGTCATTGAAGTCCCAAGAATGGTGTACTGGCGCGGCTCAGGACTTCCAGACGGTTGTCTGCCAGCGGGGCACTTCCCTCAATGAAGATGAGTCCTTGTAGGGACATACGAGATGGTTTATTGCACCATCGTTGATGGGTCTTGGGTTTACACTAGTCCTCCTCCTCCTCCTCCTCCTCCTCCTCCTCCTCCTCCTCCTCCTCCTCCTCCTACTCCTACTCCTCCTCCTCCTCCTCCTCCTCCTCGGGGGGTCGCAAAGGTGGGGTAGGGGCAAAAATGGGGTCGGGAGAGAAACCGTTCTGAACGGTTCCTGGAAGAAGGAAATGAAAGCATCCAGCTAGATTCGTTCCCTAACCACGCCTTGAGATAACCCCCCTCTATAAGCCCGTGGCCTACTCCTTCTCCTCCTCTTCCTCCTCCTCCTCCTCTACCGTGCCTTCTCCGGGGGAAGAATCTCCTCCGTCCACTCTGCTCCCCTCTCCCTGCTCCCTCCGACTCCATGGCCAGGAGGGGCGGCGTCAGGCCAAAGCGCCCTGGTGCAAGAAGCGGGGAGCACCGGGCCTTCGGGTTTCCACCCCCCCCAGCGGGGTGTTCCTTCCTGGGGGGGCCGCCGGGTCCCGTGTCCTCCCCCAGGGCGGGGCGGGGGGTCACTCCCCGCAATCGCCGCGGGCCCGGTGGTCCTTCTCCCCCCCCTGTCGATCGTCGTCGTTCCTCGTCTCGTCGTCGTGTCGTGGTGTTTCTCGGTCCCGCCGCTGCCTGCTCGAGGGCGGCGATTTCGGAATGCAGCGCCGCGGCTGTGCTCAAAAAGTCCCTCCGACCCCCTGCCTCGTCCGCAGATCCCCTCTTTCAAGGGGGGGGGAGAACGAGGCGGAGGAGCAGGAGGAGGAGGAGGAGGAAGAGGAGCAGGAGGAGGCGGAGGAAGATGAGGAGGAGGAAGAAGAGGAGGAGACCCCTCCATCCATCCCCCCCTCCCGGACGGCAATCATCTCCCGTGGAGAGCACAGGTTGGCGCAAGCATGCCCGTGGGCCCCGCCTCTCCCTCCTGGCCCCCCTTGTGGGTCCAGCTGGGGGTTCGAGGGTTTGGCCGCACCCCGTGGCACGCCAATGATGGCTTGTGTTCCCTGAGATCCGACGCAGCGAGAAAATTGCAACATCGAAAGAAAGTCACTCCCGGAACCCTGGACCCCACCTGCCTGCGCCACTTCTCGAGCCCGATCCATCCGGTAGGGCCCTGGGGCCCGAACCGCAGGCGAAGACGCCCGGCTAGAACAAAATGCAGACGCCAGGCTCTCGGGGCTGTCCCGACCGCATGGAGGCTGCACCGGCCGGGGCGCCGTGCCCGGCCCTCTCTCGGGGGGGGCGGGGGGGAGGGCGCCTCTGCACGCCTGCGGGGAGCTCAACGCCCGGCAGAGACACGGCGGCCCTGCTTCGGTTCGCCGGGAACAAACAAAAGCGGCATGCGCACAAACAGTCGGGGGTCCGCGCGGGCGTCTTGGCTCGGCGCCTGGAGCCCCCTGGCGGCGCCTCGGCGCGATCCAAGAAATCCGCGCGGACCTCCGCAAGAATAGACGTATGCCAGCATTTGCTCCTCGACTTCCAGCAGTCATCATCACCACCAGCAGGCGGCGGTGCCTCCACGAGCCCTGGGGCCGCGAGCCGCAACAGCACGGCCGCCCCGCCAGCGTGCAGCGGAGGCAGGAGACACGACGGCCCTAATATCGGCCTGCGGCGGCCTTCATGCCCGAGAGGATCGGCATCGGACCTGGAGTGCCCGTCGGCTGCAGCGCGGGGGTCACCACCGGGGAAGTGTGGTTCCGCCTCCGCCGCTGGCGCCACCGCTACCTCCCCCGGGGGACCCGGAAAGAAGGCAAAGCATGCACCGGCACAAGCCTTCGGAGGTCCTCGAGGGTTTCTCGGATCGGCACCGGGGCCCCTCCCTGGCCGCGCCAGGGGGCACAGTGCCGATCCAAGAAAACCGAGCGGAGCTCCGAAAGCTTATGCTACTGCCGTTTCCTCTTCTCCGAGACCTGCGACATTACCAGGCTCCGTCGATATGGATCGGGGCCAAGGCTACTCCTGTGGCGTTGTAGCTCACGGGCATGGGTGCGGTGTCGACACCGTACCCGAAGGGAGGAGGGGGAGGAGGAGGAGGAGGAGGAGGAGGAGGAGGAGAAGGAGGAGGAGGAGGACGAGGATGAGGAGGAGGACGACGACGACGACGACGACAACGACGACGGCGACGCAGAGGACAAGAGGCGAACGAGAGGAAAGGAAGGAAGACGACCACGACGACGACGACGACGACGACGACGACGACGACGACGACGACGACGACGACGGGCGACGGGCGACGGACGACGACGACGACGACGACGACGACGACGGGCGACGAGCGACGACGACGACGCGGAGAGGACGGCGAGAGGTGGAGGGAGGGAAGAGAAGCACACTGGTATGCAGAGAGTGGGGGGGTCATGTCAGCCCCCCCCAGGCGGGTCCCCTTGATCGCCCTTCTTATCACCCCACCCACGGGATCCCCCACCTCCAATGCTCCTCACTCCTCCTCCTCCTCCTCTCCCCCTCCTCCTCTTCTCTCCTACCTCCCATCTACTATATCGTGCCTCTTGCCTAAATTAGGGGCCAGGCCCAGCTCCTCTCTCCTACCTCCTCCATCCTTCCTTCTTTCCTTCCTTCCTTCCTCCTCCTCCTCCTCCTTCTCCTCCTCCTCCTTTTCCTCCCCCTCCTCCTGGCCAGCTCTGAGATCGGGGGCAGGAGGAACGCACGCCTCGCGAAACCCGATTGGGCCGACGATTGGCGAAACGGACTCACGCGGTGGTGGCTCCGACGCAGAAGTCATCATCATCATCATCATCATCAGCATCATCATCATCATCAGCATCATCATCATCAACAACCATAACATCAGCATCAGCATCTCATCAGCAGCAGCACCAGCAGCAGCATCATCACCAACAGCAACAACAACAACCACCACAACCACAACCACAACCACAACCACAACAACAACAACAACAACAACAACAACAACAACAACAACAACAACAACAACAACAACAACAACAACAACAATAATTACTAGCAAGTGGGGACACACCGTTCTCACCAGTGCCAGGGTTTTCATAGGAGGCGGGCAATACCCCCACTTTGTGGGGGGGCCGGTTCAAGCTCTACCAAATTTCCAAACGACTCTTCGCCACCACCCACACCCAGCTTCCCGCCCTATGACGTTCGGACACTTCACTTCGTGGCATGCGGACGACCGTGGCTACTATTCAGGGCCCCGCGGCCGACGACGACGGCGTGCGCGCGCGAAGAAAAAACGAATGTGTCCCGCATGGTATTATTTGACAGGGATGATGGCCCTGGCAGGTGCGCAACCGTTGTTGCAGAAGTTCGAAAAAGTTGCTCGCAAAAGCCCGTTTGACAGAAATGATTAAAAAGTGTTGGGTTTCCTACGAATCCGCAAGAGCGCGCGGGATGAAATTTTGACAATTTTTTGTTGAAAAACCATTGGTTTTTTGATGTTTTTATGTTAAAATCGCTACGAAAACTAAGGTTTTGGAAGGATTTCGTCTTGCGCGCGCGAATGTCCACTTTACCTTATTTTTTGCAAGGGATTCTTGAAGTTTGGTTATGTTAGAACAAGAAATGTCCACTTTAGCTTATTTTTTGCAAGGGAAAACCGATCGTAACAACACAACCGGATCCGGACCAACCCGTTTTGCCTGAGACTTCCTCACGAAAATGATGAAAATGAGGCTGCGGCCTAGGCGCGGCGGGGGGGTCGTGCACCAGGGGCCCCAACAATAATTATTCTTTAGAAGTAATAATGTTCACAACAACAACAACAACAACAACAACAACAACAACAACAACAACAACAACAACAACAACAACAACAACAACAACAACAACAACAACAACAACAACAACAACAACAACAACAGCCACAACAACAACAACATCATCAGCAGCAGCAGCATCAGCATCTGCCTCAGCATCAGCATCAGCATCATCATCAGCAGCAGCAGCATCGTCATCATCATCAGCAGCATCAGCATCATCAGCAGCATCAGCATCGGCTCAACATCATCCTCAGCAGCAGCATCGTCATCATCATCATCAGCAGCAGCATCAGCATCCATATCCTCGCTCCACGCTCATCGCTCCTCTCTCCTCTCCTCGCTCCTCCTCATCGCCCCCCACCCCCTCCTCTCCTGATCATTATTAATACTAGCACGATGGTGAGATGCGTTGATTATTACTCCGCCATCTCTCCTCTTCATCCACCTCCTCCTCCTCCTCCTCCTCATCATCATCATCATCATCACCACCACCACCACCACCACCCTCAGCATCATCATCATCATCATCATCATCATCATCATCATCATCATCATCATCATCATCATCCTCATCCTCATCCTCATCCTCTTCCTCTTCCTCCTCCTCCTCCTGCTAATCCTCCTTCTCCTGCTCCTCCTCCTCCTCGTCCTCCTCCTCCTCTTCCACTTCCTCCTCCTCCTCCTCCTCCGCCTCCTCCTTACCCCCGACCCTGCACCCCGGACCCCCCCCGCGGTCGGCTCTTGGAGGTGTACGCGTGGCTGCAGGTGCGGAAGTACTTCTGCAGCCCGTGCGTGTGGGTCAGGCACCTGCGGCGCCAGCCCCCACCCCTCCTCCTCCTCCTCCTCCTCCTCCTCCTCCTCCTCCTCCTCCTCCTCCTCCTCCTCCTCCTCCTCCTCCTCCTCCTCCTCCTCCTCCTCCTCCTCCTCCCCGTGCCTATCCTCCTTCTGTGCTTCCGCCTCCTTCTGTGCTTCCGCCTCCTCCGCCCCGAGTCCCGCCGCGGCGGGGCTCTGCGGGCGCGCAGCCACGGGGCCAGAGCGGGGCAAGGGGAGGGGGAGAGGGAGGGAGAGCGAGGACGAGGAGGCGAGGAAGGAAGGGGAGGACGAGGGGGGAGGGTCGGGAGGAGGAGAAGGAAGAAGAGGGGAGGGAGAGGAGGAAGGAGCAGGAGAGAGGAGGACGAGGAGGGAGGAAGGAGGGGGTGGGAGGGGGAAGGGGGGCGCGGATGAGGAGTCGGAGAAGGGGGCGGAAGCGGCGAGAGGTAGGGAGGGAGGAGGCGGAGGGCGACGACGACGAAGAAGACAACAACGATGAGGGAGAAAGATGAGAAGGCGGAGAGGACAAGGGGGATAAGGAACGGAGAGGGGGACAAGTCGGGCCGGAGTAAACTAAGCACAGATCGCCGAGGCTGCAACACACAATCCCACCCCAACTCTCCCATTCACAACGGCGAGTCTCCGCTGGAAAAGTGAAGGCCCTTTCAGAATTGCACAGTTTCGGGGCATGGCAGGGCTGGAACTGAGATACGCACACGCGCGCGCTCCCGCGCGCCGCAAATCGAAATCACTGCAAGACCATTGATGGTTTCACATTTCAAGGTAGAGATCTGCATAAACGTAAGAATCATAGGTAAGTGCGTTCAAACAAGAAACTTCACGTTCTGTGCGCGCGTACACTGCAATTAGTTCCTGGAGAAGAGCCCACAGCCCAGAATTCCAGGAGCTCCTGGGCGCTCCCGCGCGCTCCTGATGTTCCTCGCTCAGGTTTGTCCAAAGGCAGGAGGGCCCCAGACGGGCCAAGAGGGCCCCAAGAGGCCTCCAAGACGGTCCAAGAGGGCTCCGAGAAGCCCAAAGATCGCCCCAAGACACCCAAGATGGCCTCCAGACGGCCCAAGAGGCCTCCAAAACGCCCCAACAGGGCTCCGAGAGGCGCCCCAAGAGGGCCCCGAGAGGCCACAATCAATAATTCCCCTTCGGTGTTCTGGGCTGGGGGATTCTAGATGTCTGCCTTTTCGGGCTTTCGGCGCACCGAGACGGCCCGAGAGGCCCCCTAGGTCGCCCCAAGACGGCCCAAGAGGGCCCCCAGAGGGCCCCCAGACGGCCCAAGAGGGCCCTACGGCAATCCAGCAGGCCCTGAAGACGGCCCAAGGCAAGAGGGCCCCACGAGGGGCCCAAGAGGGGTCCCAGCGGGGGAGCACGAACCCGGATCTCGAGCCCTCCGCGCCAAGAGGACCCTCGGGGCCGCCAGCAGGCCCCTGAGAGGCCCCCCAGAAGCCCTGGGAGGGAGGCCCAAATCGGGCCCCAGGAGGTCCCCAAGAGGCCCCCTCCTCCTCCTCCTCCTCCTCCTCCTCCTCCGCCTCCTCCTCCTCCTCCTCCTACTCCTCCTCCTCTTCCCCCTCCTCCTCCTCCTCCGCCTCCTCCTCCTCCTCCTCCTTCTCCTCCCCCTCCTCCTCCTCCTCCCTGTCCTCCCCCTCCTCCCCCCCCCCGAGCGGGCCCCGCCCCAAAACCGCATCCAAGAAGCTTCCAAGAGGCCAGCGAAGAAATGCCCACGGGCAACCAAGAGGCCTCTGACCTGCAACCCCAGCACGGTGACGGGATGAGCCGAAGGCCACCAGATATCTGTACGTATCCATCACCTTCGTTCTCTCATCTCCTGGATGTCTGAAACGGCAGACCTGCCGCGTCGCAGATATGGGCACGAAGCTGGCCAACTTCTCTGTGGCAACTCACAGGAGCCTCCAATGTAACCTTGCTGGCTCTTGAGAACCGACGCTGGCCAACGCTAATCGACGCGAGTCGGCACTAAGCCGACACTCATCGACGCCAAGTCGGCGTTTTCTCATCGATTGCCAGACGCTGTCGCACACATGTGCAGCCAAAAGACGGCATTTCGACAACACACGTGAGGGGCAACGACAGAGGAGGGCCCAGCGCAGGGGGGAGTCATCGACATGGCGTCGGCGGTATACGTCGCCCATGGAGATCGGCGATGGGCCCCCGAGACAGCGAAGCCGCACGCTCCCGGCGGGACCGAGCCATCGGGCCCTCTGTTGGCGAGGGATGGGCGTGGGGGGATCGACGCCTCCCCCCCCCCCCCCTGGGCCTGTGGGCCTGTCCCCCCCCCAATAGCGTTGTGGATGCCACGGCAGTGGGCACCCTAACAGTCCTATCATGGAACTCGGAATGTGTTCAAAACGTGTAAAGCATGCTCTAGACATGTTTCAAACAGAGCTCGGCGGTGGACAAACCGTAGCTCGGCGGTGGACAAACCTCCCTTTATTAAACCTCCCCTTAGTGAAAACGGCCCGGGACCGAAACCGACGGACCTGGGCCCGCAGAAAGGACGGCCGCGACGCACTCTCGCGAACCGAGAACGGCGAACTCCTTAATCGACGCGTCAGGGTAGGAGGTCTATCCACCTCCGAATAGCTGCCCCTGGGTACGAGGCTCCCACGAGCCTGTCCCCCCATAGCTAGAGGCCTCCTAGATGGGGTCCGAGTAAATGCGGTCGGAGGATCGCGCCGCATCACCGATGCATCAACGATACATCAGCGATGCATCCGCGACGTCGGCGATGCCTCGGCACCGTCGGCGTGGAGAAAGTCGGGCTCCACATCGACCCGCATCGGCGATGCGTCGGCGATGCATCGGCGATGCGGCGCGATCCTCCGACCCCATCTACTCGGACCCCATCTGGGAGGCCTCGAACAGCTGCCCCTGGGCGCGAGGCTCCCACGGGCTGCTGTCGAGCCGCTTCTCCGGGGCGCAGCCCCCCGCCCGTGCGCGCGCGCGCGCCGAGGCGGGGCAGGGCGGCGGCGAGCACTGCAGCGCGGAGTTCATGAAGCACGTGTTGCCTCCCCGCCCCGGGGGCGCTGTCTGGCCGGGGAGGCGTGAGACTCGGGCCACGGGGGCCTCGGGCTGGCCCCTTTGAAGCAGAGGGGCCGCGGGAGCAGGGCCGCGCTGCTTCCCCCCCCCCGTCGGGCCTTTGGGAGGGGCCCCGTCGAGGGCCGACAGCAGTTGCCATGGCCAGGGAGAGCCCCCCTCGCAGGCCAGGACCGGGGTGACCAGGGTCGAGATCTCTGGTGGGAAAGCGAGGGGTGGGGAGGCGCGCAGATCCGAGGGGCCCAAGCTGTCCGAGCCTCACAAGAAATAGTTAACGAGACCCTATCTGAAATTTGGCGCGGGCTCCCGCTGCAGACATGCCACGAAAACGGGACCGTCAGAATCCAGGACGCGCTGGTCAAAAAAAAAGGCGGCAGACCCGAGTTCCGGCTTACTCGAGTCTTACGTTTCCCCGATCTGGAGCGATGGCACGCAGAAGGACACACTGACAGAACTGTGCTGAGACGTCGGAGGCGCACTCTCTTTACGTCGCAGCGCGGCAGAGGCAGTCCGCACGCGCGCCCGGGCAAGCTGGGCGACGGCATTGCGAGGTGCCAGGATGCCAGAGGGGAAGACGGGGGGAGGAGAGGAGCGGCCGTTGGAGGAGGGGAAGGAGCAAAACTGGTGTCGGGGGCGCACGTCGGACACGAACATGCAGTGCACGAGCCCAGAGCGGCATCGCCCGCCGCGGGGCTGCTGCCACATCGGCTTTCCCGAGGTTGCGCGCCGCCCCTTCTGGGGCCAGCGCACGCGCAGCATAGGCATGCCTGGGCGGTGCCGAAGCACTCCCGCGCCAGGGGCTGCAGTGGCAGGGCAGGCGCACGCCGCGCCATCACCCGGCAGGAGAGGAACGAGGCCCCCTCCAAACCGCCGCCACACTCGGGCGGCTTTGCGGCAAGTCCTCGTCCCACGAGGCGACGCCGAGCTTCTGGGAGGAGTCCTCCGTCGCGTCTGGTGAGGCGGCGCCGCTTTCGATCGCCCCCCTGACCAGGTGCCGGACCTCCGAGCGCACCCAGGTGCAGGAACTCCGAGCGATCGAGCCACGACTCGCCTAAGAACGCCAGGCTCTTGCCGACGTGGCTGCTGCCCAGCGCGAGCGTGCTCTTGGTCGGCACCGGCTGCCTCACGCCAGGCACAGGCGCGGGGTCCGAGGCGCTGCCGGCGCAGACCCGCCGCGGAAGGCCCCCGGGGACCTCTGCAAACCAGGCAGTGGCAGGGAGGGTAGGGCCTGGATTTTTTAGAAAACTATACATGCGAGCGACCTTTCATCCAATGCTTCTGTGCAGTGCCATTTCGGCTGAAGAGCCCCTGGAGGGCGAAAGCTACCTGCGCTTGGCACACAAAACACATCAGCATCCGAGCAGGCTTGATAGTCCTTTCGATCGGGGGAGCTCCACGCGCACGGCGGCCGCGCACTCGCCGCTGGCCTGCTCGAGAGCGCCGCCTCCACGGCCAGCAGCCCGGCGCCGACCACGGCGGGCTGGCAGGGCTGGCGGGGCTGGCAGGGGGAAAGCAGCGCCGCCGCGCGCGCATGGGGGGCGGCCACGGCCAGACCGACGGGCGCAAGACAGGAACCAAACAGTTCGTATTTGTTTATATTATTTGTTTTTCATGTTTTCTTTATCTTTATTTTTGGGGGGGTATTTTGGGGGGTGTTTTATTTCTTTTATTTTTTTTTCGGAACCAAACAGTTCGTATAGATCCACTGACCTTCCTCCACCCCTGCGAACGGTGCCTCTCTCGACACGGCCGAAGCTCGAGGCGAAATAGCTGCGGACGGCCACCTGCGCCCGTCCTGAAGCCCTCGGAGCCAGCCCAAGAGGCCAGAGTCATGGGAAAAAACTCAAGCACGCGTGTGGGTTCGCATGGCCGCCTCTTCGGTCTTCAGAGCACCCAATACCCAAGACGGCCCATACATGCCCATGAGGCCTCCCAAAAAAAGATCTAGATGCTTTAGCTGCCATTCAGGCCTGGGCTGCTTCGGAGACTACCCCTGCTGCTACGGCAGCACGTCCTTGCCGCAGACGGCAAGAGCTTTCAAGAGCAGCAACACGGCGGACTGCTGACAAGGCTCTGGCCATACATCTGGGGCTGTCGATCGCATATGACCACAACTGCCCCGCAGGAGCGGGCTGCTTCGAGGGCTACTCCTGCTGGTAGTCGGGCGCAGCCACATCCACCGTCACCGTTACACTTACGGCGCGGCCCGCAAGACGACGACGGATGAGCCAACCAAATCACACTTGGCTGTCATGCCGTTAGAAAGTATGCACGAAGACCTGCTCACGCCGATCATGAATCAGCAAGGGGGCAGTCGCAGGCTGGGAAGGGAAATACACCGAGGCCATCGTGCAGGTGGCCAAGCGGGAAGATGGGTGTGCCACCTAACGTGTTCTCTGCGCCGTCTCAGGTCAGCTGGTGATCACTATTTGCAATCAATTGTCGCAGGGGACAGTGAATTAGGGCGCTGATTGCCCTGCTGCAGAAGTGGGGAGGAAGACATCTAAGCTGATTAGCGTATGCACTTACCCCAGCCACTTCCTCATTCTTCGTTTTCCTCTCCACCTAGGGCAGGCTCGGACTCACCGCTTTCACCACCATGGCGAGAACGGTGTCGCGAGTCTAGGGACAATAGTCCAGTAAACTTCCACCTATACGACTACGCAGCACATGTTCCAACGCAATGAGACACTTCAATGAATGAGGCACCTCAGCGAGGCGAGCGTAGAATCACAACGCACCCCTGGGAAAGACTGCAATCGCAATGTGGTGAAAAGCGTGTGAGCTACAGTCAAAGGCTCTAGAGCGCATACCCGAGTCGGCTGCCGCAGAGCAAAACTCACAAACAACGGGCACTAATAAGCATGGCATGTGCTCTTTGGAAAATGAAGATAGCCCCCCACCCCACCCCTCCGAGGTTGCTCAGGCCCATGAGGCCCTTCTTGTTCTTCTGCCGGCCGTAGCCGTAGCGCGCTGGCGCCTCGGCGTAGCCTGGGGGGAGGAATCGAGGGACCCGAAGCCATCAGCGCATCCTCATCCTACTCCTCCTTCATTTCCTCCTTCTCTTCCTCTTCCTCCTTCTCCTCCTCCTCCTCCTCTTCCTCCTCTTCCTCATCATCCTCGTGGTCGTTCGTCGTCACCGTCGTCATCGTCATCGTCATCGTCATCGTTGGCGTCATTATTATTATTATTATTATTATTATTATTATTATTATTATTATTATTAATAATAATAATAATATTATTATTATTAGTATTATCAATATTATTATTATGATTATTATTATTGTTATTATTATTATTATTAATATTATTCTTATTATTATTATGATCAGTATTAGCAGTATTATTATTGATATTAATATTGATAGTATTATTATTATTGTTATTATTAATATTATCATTATTATTAGTATTAGTATTAGTATTAATATTATTTTTTATTAATATTACTACTACTACTACTATCATTTGTATTATGATTATTACTATTATAATTTATTATTATTATTGATAATATTATTAATATTATTAATATTATTATTATTAATAGTATTAGTATTATTATTACTATTATGACGATTACTATTATTATTATCATCATCATCATCATCATCATCATCCTCATCCTCATCCTCATCCTCATCGTCATCATCAGCATCAGCATCAGCATCATCATCATAATCAGCATCATCAGCATCATCATTATCATCAGCAGCAGCATCATCATCACCATCATCATCATGATCACAGTCACCATCACCATCATCAAAATCATCATCACCACCACCACCATCATCATCATCACCATCACAATCACCACCACCACAACCATCATCATCATGTTCATACTCATAATCATCATGTTCATCAGCATCATCGTCGTCATCATCATCAGCAACATCATAATCACCATCAGCACCATCATCATCATGAGCACCATCATCAGCAGCAGCATCATCACCACCACCACCACCAGCATCTTCACCACCGCATCATTCATCACCATCACAATCACCTTCATCATCGTCAGCAACAATAACAACAGCCACAACAACAAGGCGAGTCCGGGTTTCTGGTGCCCTGGGGGGGCAGGGTACCAGAACCCTGGCCTCCCCTGCTGGCGAGGACGGGCTTCTGGTATCCTGGGACTCAGTCGCGAGGGGGGTGTCGCAACCGCAATCGCGCAACCAGCACTACCACAAGAGAGTGGAAAAGAATCAATCCGAATTGCCGAATAGATTGTTGACGCTTCGCGTATCCCCACCAGCCCATCCAGAAACGATGCTCAGGGGAGTTAAGGTGATCAGGGAAGTCGGGGAGCATGCAGAATAACAAAGGGCGGGGGAAGCTGTCACAGACCCCGAGAGGGGGAGGATGGAAGAGGAGTCGTCGTCGTCGTCGTCGTCGTCGGAGGAGGAGGAGGAGGAGGAGGGGGAAGAGGAGGAGGAGGAGGAGGAGGAGGAGGACGGAGAAGGAGGAAGAATCGGAGGAGGAGGAGGAGGAGGGGAAGGAGCTTCTTGGGGGTCTTTTGAGGGCCTCTTGGAGGGCTTTTTGGGCGCCTTGGGGCATCTTGGGCGCCTCTTGGGACCCTCTTGAGGCGCTCCGGGGAGCCTTCGGGGCGCTTTTGGGGCCATCTTGGAGGGAGTCGATCAAACAAGAGGGGGGGTTTAATTAGCGCCCCCCCTCGGAAGCCCCTCACAAATCCTGGCGCTTGCACTCGCCTCGCACGGCCCTGGGGGGGGGGAGGAGGAAGCCTCCCCCAGGAGCGGAGGGTGCGGACCCGACCCATCTGCCCCGCAGCGCGCGGCCTCTCCGAGGCCAAGCGGGCAGACGCCGGTCGGGCCCGTGGGGGAGCACCACCCCCCCCCCCACACCCCCAGGGCGGGTAGGGCGGGCCAACGACAGCTCGTGGTCACTATGGACCAGAAGAGAGGGCCCCATTGGGCACGTGAACGCAGCAGGCCGCTATGGGCCGCAACGAAGCCACTATGGGCCGCAAGGAAGCCACTATGGGCCGAGCGAAGCCCCCAGAGGGCGGAGGGCCGAAACCCGACACACGGCACGGTATTTATATCCCGCCCCAGTGCCAGGCGGAGGAAGCACGGCACGGCACTGCACCACACGACGCGAGCGGGAGGCGGAAGAGGGTCGACCAGCGCGCGGCCGACCAGCCGAGCGAGGGCGCCCCCGCGGCCAGCCGCGGGGTCGTTCACAGCGCGGGCGGATTTGTGCCAAGCAATAACTTCGTTATTCCGACCCCACAAATCCTGGCGCTTGCACTCGCCTCGCACGGCCCTGGGGGGGGGGGAGGAGGAAGCCTCCCCCAGGAGCGGAGGGTGCGGACCCGACCCATCTGCCCCGCAGCGCGCGGCCTCTCCGAGGCCAAGCGGGCAGACGCCGGTCGGGCCCGTGGGGGAGCACCACCCACTGCAACGGCGCTCCCGCGGGCCACGCCCGGCGCTGCCACCCACTGCCCCCGCGTGCCGGGGGTGCGCCCACGTGTGTGCCGTGCAGACACGACCACCAGACTGCGCGGGGTGCTCAGCCATCGCCATCGTCGCTGGACGACTCTGCCAAATGGGCTTCCGCGACCGACTGCCGCTCGAGCCGGGAAACGTTAAGGTATTTCATCCACGCGGGCTGATGCCAGCCGCCCGCGCGAAGAAGGTCGGTGACCGGTCCGCCCCTGGCAGCGATGTCCTGCGCGTGCCCGCGCCTGAACGCGTGAGTGCCGAATGATTCCGCGTCGTGGCGCCCCATTTCGCCCAGCGCGCGGCGCAGCCGAGCACGTGCCGCGCCTGGGGACCACGCAGCCCAGATGGGCTGATGAGCTGGCTCGCCAACTAGCCAGGCCCCAAGAACGTGTACGGGACAGGTGACCGCGCACTCGTCGCACCAGCACTGCCGTGCCATCACCGAGCGGCTCTCGCGGTTCTTTCTCCTGGAGAGGTGCAGCTCGATCTTTTGATCGCCGACGACGAACGCGGAGGCCACGCCAGCTGCGGCCGCGCCATCTTCAACCCGCACCGCGGGCAGGGCCTCCGAGGGTAGCCGAAGGAGGAATGCGTAGGCCGCCAGGCACAACATGGCGAAACGGCGACCCTCGTCACTGACGCGCAGGTGCGACACCAGACGGGCGACGTCGCGGCCCTGAAGGGCCATGCGCGCCTTCGCCTGCCAGCCCGAACGCTTCTCGATGGCGTTCTTAGCGGCGCGAACCGCCGGGTGCCTGAAGACTTCCACGGGCCTTGCGCGCCAACTGCCGCCGCGGGCGGACGCGCGCGTTGCCGGAAGATGAGAGGCGGGCGCGCGCCGGCATGCCACGAGGCACGCCTTCTTCACGTAAGTCACATAATTGCTGAAGGTCCCGGCGCACCTGAAGGTCGTGGACCACAGAAGCAGCCCCTCCAGGGTGGGCGGCAGTTCCTTCCCCCGTCGCTTTAAGACGCCCCTTGCGAATGTAACCCAGCACTCGAACCCGCTGCTGAGCGCGGGCAATGAGCGCGGGCATGCGCCCAGGAGAGCGCTCACCCGGGCCCTGCGCGCCCACGCTTTACCGGCCGCCGAGGAGGTGATGAGGGCTCTGGCCCGAGCAGCTTCGGCCCGCGGCCCGCGCATGTCACGCCGACCCTCGCGCCCAGCGACTGAGAGCGCCCACCGGACCGCGGACACGGGGTCCTCCGGGGGAGCTGCATGCGCCCTGCCGCTGTCCTGGCGCCCGCGTTTAGCGCTGCGAGCGACATGCCGCAATTTCGCGCGCGCACCGTGGAGGATGACGAGACGGATTCGCTCGAGGGCGACCGCGTCGCGATGTCGGTCCTGCGACGGCCGACAAGGGGGGGGCCCGCGACGAACGCGGAACGCGCAAGCAGACCTGGGGGCAATCCCGGGCGACGGGGCGGGCGCAGGAGAAGCGCCCGCGCTGCCCCTGCCCAGCGCGGCTGGCGCGCCGCCGCGCTGGGCTGCCGCGATAGCCGCGCGGACCACCTCGCGGGCGTCGCAAGATAATGCCGCGGCGCCCCTGAAGTCTGCCAGGGTGACGCCAACCAAATCGCTCACGGCGTCGGCGCCGTTATCGGCAAGCAGCTCGGCAGCGGCGAACACAGGAAGAGGGCGTGCCTCAGGGCAAACCGCGCGAAGCTGAGCGAGCAATCCAGCCAGCGCCATCGCGCGAACACCGATGACATTCTCCAGGTGCGCCGACAAACCAGAGATGCCCTCGCGCGCCCACAGGCGAAGCGCGACCGCGACGTGCGCGAGGGAGGACGCCAACCCCTGCCCGACCTGGCGGGCGCACCCTGACCGATGAGTGAAGGCCAGATCCATTGCACGCACGCCCAGCGCCCGAGCCGGTCATGGCCGGCGATGAGGAAGCCACGCGCTCGGATCGAACCAGGCATCGTCCAGCACCGGAGGAATCCACTCCGCCCCCAAGCGATACAGCAGGGAATATGACTCGCGCGACGGCAGGTCGGCGATGTTGTCCACCGACGCCACACGCTGAACGTGCAGATTGCAATTCGCATCCAGCGCCATGCGCCAGATTGAGTGGACCAGGCAATTGTGGTCAAACTGCTTCGCCGCACCGGACCGGACGGCCCACTCGCTGCCTGAATTATCCGAAAAGATGTTCACGCATCGGCCCGACAGGAGCGGCTCAAAGGTGGCCAGGCCCAGCGCGATGCTGAGCACCTCCAGACCGCCGATTTGATTGTCGCGCCTTTCCCTGAAGAGCCGAAGCAGAGGCACAGGCGGGGCGACATCGGTGAAGACAATGCGCCCGTCAATGAAAAGAACCGCGGCCACTCTAGCTGGATTCCCCCGCGCGTCGGAGAGCAATTGGACAGACCTGGTGTCTGGCGCCTGCCACTCCCGCGTCGTGGTGAAATTTCTGGCGAGCGCTTCGTGCCACCATTGCAGGCAGACTCGCAGGTGCGCCGGGATACTAGGATGGCGCGCCCTTGCGTGCTCAAACAACGGCGGGAGCA